TCTTAGCAACTGCTGCATTTCGCTTTGAGCTCGTGTTTCCTTGACAATACTCGTGGCAAATTGTACACGAATGTAAGGCATTTCATTTGAAGGGCTGAAAGTCCAAGAACATATTTATAAAACATCATTGAAATACAGCTATTGTTTGGCAAGAGGGAGAAGCAAGCAGGCACAGCACTGTTGCGTGCTTTGCTGGAAGCAATGTGGAGGTGGGGCATGGGAGTTTTGACATGACTTATGTCTAATTGCCATAAGTTTTTCTTCTAACATTAAGAAATTAGTGTCTTTGCTATTATCTGGCTAAAGACTGAGATGTATTTCCCTATTGAGGGAAAACAGAGCTTTTTCTTTTAGGGCAGCTATCAGGTCCAGCCAGGTAAACGCTGTTGATTTTTGGGGTTCTCAACTTTGATTTGTCATTACTGTTATCTCTTGAGTTTTCCAGGCAGCCTGTCCAGAGGAGGCAGTAAAAGACATGAACACTCAAATGACTTCAATTGTGTGTTTGTTCCCATTTTTCATGTTTGCAGCTTTTGTTGTTTTCCATTTCTATTTGTCTCATTGAATTTTGTGAGCAGAATTTGTAAGCTTAAGGCTGTTGGTCTGGAACTGCTCATCAGTTACAAATTTGTCATGGATTGTGATTTACCATTATGCCTCATATATTTTCTTCAGAGGATGATTGCAGTTTAATGTTATTTTGCATTCCAAGTAGTAGTAGATCTCCTGTCTGTTATCAGACTGCTTTCTGAGCTCTCAGAAAGCCTTCAGTAGCTCTTAAAACTTCTGTCATTTGGAATGCTAAAAAGCAAGTTGAAATTTCAATGGTAATTTGTTACGGAGAAATCCATGAAATTTGAATAAATCAACAATTTTCTCTTCCCATCACCAGCCCATTTTAATAACATGAACATTGTTAAAAGTTTGGTTTATGTATTTATTACTGATTGCAAGCTAATTTGGAACGCTACCCTAGAAAAGCTGACTTGAAATCAGTCGAAGAGCTGAAAATAGGTGTGCAATGAAGATTTCAATGGAAAATGAAATGACTACATTTGGCTGTTACCTGATGAGCTGATGTGAAATGGATTATCATTTTAGGGCTGCATGCCAGATATTTACATTATAGAAATAGCTTTTGGTCTCTGGGGAGACAAAGCAAAACAGAACTGGCTAAAATGCTTTGGAATATCAGCTAAGAAGACAAAGTAAGGAAGGCGGTTGCTTGGGGAATCGCTGCTGGCTCAGACACACTGGCAGAACAGTAAGAAGAGAACTACACTACGGATGCTCCTGCAATGTGCTCTGCTGACTTTTGTGCTCAAGTGTTTCCACCCAGTGATTAATGGTGAAGCTTATCTAATGAGGCTGTCATTTTGGCATCTTGCAGTAGTACAGCAATCACTTTAAGGAAAGAAAAAAAATGGGACTTAAATTGACCCCTTTATTTATGTAATCAAGAACAGGATGCACCAGCTTTTAGCTCAAACTGGCCTATTTTGTACGCTTGAGAAATGAGTCATGGCCAGAACCTCTTAGAATAGGTTCTTGCTGGTGGGAAGACAGATGAACTCAAATTCCCAGATAGTAACATGCTTCAGTGTTTTCACTGGGTAGTGAGAGCCAAACCAGCAAGGGAAGCACTTGCAAGTTCTTGGTTTAGAGTTCACAGATAAGCTAAAGTGACTGTAACTTCATTTGATGCATTTATGGGGATGTGTGCGATGCCTTAAGATGTGACAGTAAATGCAGTGCATGTGCTTAGCTGAGTAAAAGTGAAGGTGTTGACTTTACAGTCTCTGGTGCACTGTCTACACTGTCAGTCCATTCATTCCAGAGCTTGGTATTTAAACTTCAAATCTTTCATCTCTGTTTCATATTACTGAACAACAGTGGTGCTGATATTGTAGCATGTTAAATAAATCAAATTATGTTTTGTTCCCTTTTGTTTAGCTAGTCTTGATGCTTTTGTTGTTGTTTTCTTTAAATCACAAACCAATACTCTGTCTCTTTTTCTTTCTGCTTTCTTACTAATTTGTTGTATACACTGTTTGAACTGTGCTACCCTCCAGCAGTACCCAACTATGGGCAGCCACAGGTTGGATATTACAGACCTTCCTTTTCCCATTTATGAGTGCGGTATGGGCCTTAGAATCATAGAATCATCTCAGGTGGAAAAGGCCTACAAAATCATAAAGTCCATTTTGACCTTCTGGGTCCCATCACTGGACTGTGTCCTTCAGTGCCTCATTCACAAGTCTCTTGAATATCTAAGGGTTGAGGGCTCCACTGTTGCCCTGGGCAGCCAGTTTCATTGCATTATCAACCTCTCCATGAAGAAATTCTTCACTGTGTCCAATTTAAACTTCCCCTGGTGGAACTTGAGATTATTTCTCTGCATCCATTCACCTTCCCCAGGTGAATGATTCTGATAGTACAAAACAAAAGAGCAGCTTAATTCTTTTCCCTAATTAGAATTTGCTTTCTCCATTTGTTCAGATTAAATTTCGGTTTGGTTATTGAAGCCCAGAAATATCTAGCAACAGGAGCTACTTTTAGAAGCAAGTGTTCTGTGGCAGTTAAATTTCTGCTTTCTTTGTTTTTGGTTTTCCAAAAGCAAAATACTTCTTGGGGACAAGTTTAACAGATGAATTGCAAAGAACTCATTTCTGATTTAGAGCAATCTGTTCCATTAGCTATGCAAAGTACCGAGTTTTCTGCTGCCTTCTGTTGTATACTGAAGTGACACGATTACTTTCCACTCATGGCAGTGAACTACAACTAGGGTGGGAAACACGCACTGCATTGCATAAGGCAAAATATATTACTCTTTCAGTTTCTTCTGCCTTAAGCCATATTGTGTTCTGCTTGGCTCCGTCAGTGGGCTGAGAGAGATTGTCTTGCTTGTAGGATTTCTTTGAACTCCTCAAGGAAGTGTTAATTAGTTTTTGACTTATCCACAAGTCTGTGCTTTCAGAAACGGTGGTCTCTGGGATATCATATCTGCTAGAAGCTTTTTATAGCATAACTGCATTACAGTATAGAGTGTCTGTCAAATAGAATTCATGTGTAGCAATGATTAAGGGGTGCCTTTGCACATTATTTTATCTTGGTATCTTGCTCATCATCCTCATTACTTTCATAACCTTCAGAATCAGTCAGGGTTTGATCATATCTTTTGAGCTTCAGTTTATGCTACCAAGAGGTTTTTAAATGAAGTGATGATGGCAAAACCAAGCAAAGTCAAACAAAAACAGCACGGAGAAAAACCCACATGCAAAGGTTAGACAAAAACTAACCTTTGAATTTACAAAGCAATTACACAAATGCTTGTGCTAGCTCTGGAGCAGAGCAATGGTTGTGCATGAAAATGCAGAGAGGGGTGCAAGGGGATGGGCAGTGTCAGAGTCTGATAACTTCAGTTTATCTCAGTTTCTAACATTAACATTCCCTGCTCAGGAGGCATTTGATTAAGCGAAAGCTGGGATGTAGCTTCTGTGGCAATTAAGTAGGCATAATTCTTCAAATCCTGTCGCCCTTGAAGTGATGTGAGGTTTTCTCATGAGTGATCCCTTATCTGTTGGTAATGGATCTGATCTAAGCTGCAGATCTTTAATGGTTTGAAAACAAGCAAAGTAGACTTTGCCCAAGGAGGTTGTGGATGCCCCATCCCTGGAGGCATTCAAGGCCAGGCTGGATGTGGCTCTGGGCATCCTGGTCTGCTGGTTGGTGACCCTGCACATAGCAGGGGGTTTGAAACTAGATGATGACTGTGGTTCTTTTAAACCCAAGCCATTCTATGATTTTTATGACTCGCTAATCTAGGAAAGTGAAGACTGGCATGAATGTAACTTGGTCATTAGGATTTTCAAGCGTGGAAGTAATTTTCAAAATGATTTTTTATTTCCACCTAAACTTATAGAGTCACTTGTTTGGGTATTTAGGAGCTTAGAAGAGCTAAACTTGCCTTATGGTAATTTTTATGTGCTTTCTTTGCAGTACATTTACACTATCTTTTTATTAATACACTTTTCTGAAGTGCTTTGGAACTCAGAGGTGAAAAATAGCTTCTGTAAGTATTCTAATTAAGAAATAATAGAATAGGTAGAGTTGAAACTAAAGACAGCAACGTGGAAGAGTATTTTGCACAAGGTGAGAAGTTTATTCAAAGAAAACTGTTTCCAGTTGTTAAGAATGATGCCAAAATTCTGATACAGGAAAAGGCACTAAAATGTCAGTAGATGATGACAAAGAAAGACACAAAACATCTTTTACTTTGGTTACTACAGTAAAAAAAAAAAAAAAAAAAGAAACTTAACTCTGTATCAAGATGACTGTTTAAGAAATTAACAACGGTCTAGATGCTTTTTTTTTTTTTTTTTTTTTAAATACAATGGATAGAGATGCACTGTTAGGAGACTGGCTGTGAATTGACAAACAGCAACTCCTGAAACCTTTAATGTACATAGTAGGAAACAAAACCAATTTTATGGAGGTTGGCTGTTCATGTTGCATCAACTAGTGCTTCACTGAGAGATGCAGAAATTCAAACTCTGAATAAGGCAAGAAAGTCTAAATAAAATTTACTGCGTAGATAAGATAGAAGGATCTGCTAATATCTCAAAATGAGATAATGCTGTAGAATTCTTTAAGAGCTAAATACTAAACTGAATACATTTAACTCCATGCTACAGGCATGCTGAATTTAGATTATATCTTAAATGGCAATGATGAGTACACAATTGAGAAGAAAGGATTACAGAGAAAAATAAAAAGCACAGCATAGTGCACAAACCTTCTCATAATCCTATATTTAATACACCAAAACTAGGATCTGACAGCTCTAGTAAGAAGCATGGGTGGAATAAAAATGTATGGTTCAACTGCAGCAGTCCAGTAGACTTTGTGAACATGCTGAAGCTCAGACTCTGATTCCAGCCTTTACTGCTCTTCTGTAAATGTTTTAAAATATTTGTTTTGCCTTAATTACTGTTTTATAGGGGAAGCTCAGACTGCAGATGTAGCTGTTTAAATCTCGGACTGACATGGAGATAAGACTGTATTTCTGCACTATTACTATACATCCAAATCTCTGTCTCGATTTTTCTGAATGGACAGCAGACAGGGAAATGTCTACGTTTGCTGGATAAATAAATTTGTCACCTCTGCTAGCAGCACATTTCAGCCAAATAATTCAATTTTGTCCTTCCATACTATCATAGTTCATAATTTGTGCGTACACAGTCTCCTTGTGTTGAGTAAGTACACTTTTTTTGCGAACATTAAGTATAAATATCTTGTTCTAAAGTAGGAATTTTTCAGAGAGTTCACAGAATCACAGAAGGGCCTGGGTTCACAAAAGACCACGATGCTCATCCAGTTCCAACCCCCTGCTATGTGCAGGGTCGCCAACCAGCAGACCAGGCTGCCCAGAGCCACATCCAGCCTGGCCTTGAATGCCTCCAGGGATGGGGCATCCACAACCTCCTTGGGCAACCTGTTCCAGTGCCTCACCACCCTCTGTGTGAAAAACTTCCTCGTAATAGCTAACGTAATCCTTCCCAGTCTCAGTTTAAAACTATTCCCCCTTGTCCTATCACTATCCACCCTTGTGAACAGCCATTCCCCCTCCTGTTAATACACTTCCTTCAAGTACTGCAAGGCCACAGTGAGGTCTCTCTGGCCCTGTTTCCTCAACTTTTCTTCATAGGAGAGGTGCTCCAGCTTTCTGATCAACTTAGTGGTCCTCCTCTGGACCTGTTCTGAAACTCTCATAAATCTGGATTTGGGTCTGCCTTTACCACTCGCTGTGGTCTTTCACTGAAGTTGAAGTGTATTATGACTTCATTTTACTTACAAAAAAGAGATTAAGCCTAATTGCAGAACGGTAATCAAGATGTGTACAAGAGAGACAGCAATTTGGATGATAATTTTGAAATAGTAAGAAATGAAAATAATCACTAGTGTTAGCAAATAGAAAGTTCCTGAGTTCTTAGTGTACCGTATAAAGAACTAATTACAACAATATTGCTGAAATATTAATGAATTTTCTTGAGGTGGTGAAAGATGGGTGGGATCCCAGTCAAATGGGGTACAAATATACCATGATTTATTTATACATTTTCCTACTTCTCAAGTAAGTCTCCATCTTTATAGCTGCGATTCTTGAAATGAGAGCGAGTTTCGGCATTCAGTTGCTGATGCCAGTAGCCTGCAGTTTTGCAGGCTTTCACCCCTCACTCTGCACGCTGCTCATTGCCCAGGACCTTATTTCAGCCCCTTCCAAAGCTGCTGGCACTGTGCTGAGCCAGGCCCACCTATGGGCTGATGTCCTGGCCTGTCCCAGTCCCTAGGGAGCTGCCCCGGCTTCTGGTAGGTGTAGGAATGGCCCTGGCTGCCAGGTTCTCCCCTGCCACCAAAAACAACCCTCAGCCATCTGGTTGTGTGTCTGGACATGCTGTCAATGGGAGATTAATCATGTGGTATATTGTACAAGTAAGTTAAGATTGTTTAATTTTCTACACTGATAGGATAACAGTGAAAAGGAGATAGTTGAATTTGTGCCTTTGATTTCTGCTATAATTTTGACTGTTTCATATTACATTGCAATGGATGAGGTAATGGTGTACAGGCTGGTAAATATTATATCCAAGTTTAACCTTCTCTGAAAGCACTGCTTCATGATCTCCGCTTTGTGTATGTACTTCAAATAAATGGCATTGGAACTGGGTGGAAAGAGGCTTATAATTCCTTTTAGGATAGTGATCTGTATTTGGAGAGCAATGGCATCCACAAACTTGCTAAGAAATGAGTTAGCTGTAGAGTACTTAGAGATATCTATCTGTCGAACTCATTAATGAGCACATGATTTTTTTTTTCTGGTTTCCCAGAGAGGGTTAATGCATTTTCAGATCTCTTTATACTCCTCAGTGTCTTTGATAAGATGACTGAGGTTAGACGATGCCTGCCATGACCAAGCTGAGAGAGCTCCACTTGCACATTAGGGAGCAGAGCTTGGCAAACAGTGAAGATGGTCTGAGCCAAATGCAACAAAATTTAAGATTGCAGTAAAGTACTGCACGAAGATTCAGTGTCACCAGTGCAGAAATGCAGCAATTGGCTATAGAGCAGTATGGCAGAAAAGAGAATGGGAGTGGATGATAAGCTAAATGTGAGCAAAAAATGTGATGGCATGGAGGAATGGCAGCGGTGTGTCTGGATGGGATGGCACCAGCACCACATTTTCAGTATGAGGAGCAATATCTGCCTGTGGTCCCTTGCAGGGTGTGCAGGTGGTGAGGCTGATGTGATTGCAGGCATAAAAGGGAAATGTAGAGAAATAGGAGAGTCCAGGGAACTGCAGAAAAATGATAGACTTGAAAAATGTGATTTGTGAGGAAGGCTTTGAAGATCTGTTTTGGCTGAGTTTAGAGAAAAGAGCCCTTGGAAAAATCTGAAAAATCTTGTCATAAGTAGAGTGGCACTCTCACTATAGGGCAAGGCAAATGCCATGTTACTTAATTGCAGCAAATGAGATTTTGATGAAAAATGAAGAATGCAGGTTTTCTATGTTAAGAAATAAACTGTAGGCCTGTTTCCTTAGGAGATTATGAAATAGTTTTCCTGAAAATTTTGATAAAATGGATTTGGTGTTGTCTGCAAAGTTACTAATTCAAAGCAGCAGTTAGCTTAGATCATCTATTCACCTTTCCCTTCCAGCTGTGCATTGCTACGTTTCTGTGATCTTCAAAGAAATTCACTGCATTATTTATTCTGATAGGAATGACTCTATTTCATCTGTCGAAATGAAACTGCATGAAATTACACTTTGATTACTAATCTGTCTGAGACAAAGTGTTAGGTTTTATTGTTTGGAAACTGAAGTATAGTGAAAATTCCATGGGAAATCAATCTTGTAAAGGATACAGTTGCCTGAAAATATTGTGACAGGGAATACTGGAGAAACTCAAAGTAATAGTCAAGCATTAATTGTTCATTGCTTTTCCTATTGAACAAGTGTTTATACAAGAAAATATGTACTGTAAAAGCATATGATGCCAAATACAGTAGATAAAGAAAGGGTAATTTCTTGACTTGTGAAATGGTCAGTGTTTACTATAAATTGATCTATATGAAGTTTTAGTTTAATGAAGATTTGTGTTTGTAACATGGAAAATATGGAAACATGGAAGATGTACACAAGAAAATGAAAATTGCTGAACACATTATTTATTCAATACAAAATGTCTGGTCGCATGTTTTTGCCGTAGTTATTTTTGGCAGTTGGAGAAATTAAATCATAGAATCACAGAATGGACCACAATGATCATCCAGTTCCAATCCCCAGCTATGGGCAGAGTTGCCAACCAGCAGACCAGGCTGCCCAGAGCCACATCCAGCCTGGCCTTGAATGCCTCCAGGGATGGGGCATCCACAACCTTCTTGGGCAACCTGTTCCAGTGCCTCACCACCTTCTGGGTGAAAAACTTCCTCCTAATATCTAACCTAAACCTCCCCTGTCTCAATTTAAAACCATTCCCCCTTGTCGTATCACTATCCACCCTCATAAACAGCTGTTCCCCCTCCTGTTTATATGCTCCCTTCAAGTATTAGAAGGCTGCAATGAGGTTGCCCCAGAGCCTCATGTCCAAACCCCCTTTGTTCTGTCCAACTACAATATTTAAGTAGTGCAATCCACATGCAATCATTGTTCTTAACTCAGGAGAAAGCAGAATCAATCTCATCATGTTGAGTTCTGAGCTGAATAATTTTGAAAACGAGCTGAAGTGGCCAACCTGAATTCAGATTGAGGCAGCTTTGACTGTGTGACCCATTTAGACCATCTGGAGCTATAGTTAGTGTATGTGTCATCTCAAATTGATAAGTCACTGACTTTGGATATGCAATTTATTTATTTTCTTAATGAAATGAGTAGTTTGAGAGTATGGTTGCAGAAGGTTTGCAATTTGTTTCCAGTGCGTTTTAATTTTAAGCATAAAATTTTGGAGGAATTTCAATTGTTAAAATGCTGCCCTGAGGTTATCCGAGTTAATACTTAAGAAAACTGTGGGTTTTTTTTTTTTTTCTTCAAATTGATCCATGAATGGGAAGGAATCACAGTGGCCACCATGAAGCACTTGCGCTGCTCCTCTGTCAATTTGCTGATTCCAGCTATTGTGGGCTTGTTATTATACATCAGAGTCTTTAAAAATCAATTTCCTCCCTTTGCTGGCTTTTCTATAGGCCTATCTGGTCCCTCATTCCTTTTCTGTGATATATCATGGTACAGCTCTTGTACTCTTGTGGTTTGTTTGTAGTATTTCCTGTAGTGTACTTAGCTTGTGCAAAGCTTTTGACTTGCACTGTTTGGTTATGTTAGGTCCTTTATTCTTTCTGTTTTCCTGTATTTAAATCAACTTTTTTCTCTGCTGCCCAGATAAAGGTGAAGATCTACCTTTTTGAATTCAGTAGGAGACCAACCAGTGTTAAGACAGGGGAAAAAAGACGATGCTGTTCTAAAGACAAATTATAGTGATATTACAGATTCTTACAAAGACTAAATCATGTAATCTCTTAGCTCAAAGTACAGTATTTCCACATTGCAGTTCCAAAATTATATCTGTGCTCTACAAATTTGGAAAATTATGTTGTGTCAAAATTAATCAATGCCTTCCTTCCCCTGAAGAACTGAGTCTGTAACATCATTTTCACTTTCTCAGGAAGTATTTTGTCTTCGTTGCTTTAAGTCTCTACTGGATGTTTATTCTTGAATACAGTCCATGGCAAAGGACAGAAATGTACCCAGCTGCTATTTTCAAAATAAGGGGGTTGGTATTTGTGGTGCCCTCTTGCTTAACTTGTAGGCAATATGTGGCTTTTGGTAATTTAAGTGGCATTTCGGGGAAAAAAATTTATGTTTTTCTGTTAGATTTTAATGAAGTTATCTTCATAGCAATCCCACCTTTACATCTTCTTAGTTCTATGAACTTTTGCAGGTAGTCTTTGCTGCAGTTGTTAATGAGTTTTTGCTGTATGGCTAGTAAAGGTTTTAGTCTGCAGTGTTGCACAGTACTTCAAGAACACAAAATATGAGTAAAATATTTTTGCTATTAGCTCATTTGTGCTACTACCTACTTTATGTCTAACTGGTCACTTAGTATAATAAAATCAAGGTATAATTCCATATCAGCTGGTATTTAAAGTCACTGCTTCAGTTTCAGATTGAGGGAGAATTTGCTGGAGATGAAGGCATGTTATTTCCAAGCAGTATCACTTGATCTGATTTATAAAAAAAAAAAAAAAAAAAAAAAAAAAAAAAAAAAAAAGCCTGCTGTGAAGTTGTCTCACTTACGATGTAGTATTGTTGCTGTACAGTTGACATTAATGACCTCTAATGGAGTAGCAGACTGTTTACTTTGCTCTAATCTCACTGACATGAAGGAAATGCCCATTACAGGCAGGTTTTCCAAATGTGCGATCATTTCCTTTTGTGGAGAGCCACAGTGAACCCTCTAATGCTCTCAGGGCAGAAGACATGGCACTTTGTCATATGGAGGCCCCTCTCTGGGATTCAGCTTCTCAGGCAAGCCTTGAGAAAAGACATCCCCATGTTTGCTATACTT